CGATCAAACACCAAAAGATTGAAAATCTCAACATTTTCTAGGTGGAAAATTATATCAATCAAACCCAACTAATTAACAATTCCCTACAAAATATTTTCTAGACAATTATTTTTCTTGAAATTCATTTTCTTTACACCTATTTTCCACCATTGCAATCAAATAGATCCTTAGTTCCCTCCATTCTCAACGAGATTCGCTCCTCTTTAAAAAAAAAGGAGCATTAAAACAACAGAAATAAAGAAAATTGTAAATAGAGTCTAACAACTTTTCAAATAGTAGAAATAAACTTTAAATAAAATAATTAAATACATATCAACACATGAAATAAAAATTTAAGAAATTTCATCTTCTCCGCGTCCGTCCACTCCACTCAAAGTTTTTTAGTTGATTCTTTGCATAAAAGTCAGACATGAATTGAAGAACGGATATAACTATACTTTAGGTAATTATATCTAAACTGCTGTTTTTGTTGTTACGCCGCATTTTATCTTAATGAAGGCTTTCAATCTTTGTTCACTTTAATATTCAAGTGTTCATTTTTCTTCACATTCTTATCCTTGATCACCTAATAATTTGCAATATTGTCCTTGATTATAATTTTTTTTCAAATATTCTACTAACGTGTTTTAAAATGAGAGGCAAATTATAAAAATTGAAGACATGTACCATAGCAAGGAACGGGGCGCACGGTACTTCTCGACCCTATAATAAAAATATAATTACTCTCTACTTTTAATTTAAACAAATAATAAAAATAAAAGTTCAACAAAATATTTACCCCTCATCAGTTATAGACAAGACGTGCCTTGAAGGTTAAAGACGGAAATGTGACATAGCAATGACCAAACTCACTAATCACATATTATATTTTAAATTAATGCATTAAACATTAACTTCATTGTTTTATTCGAAAGAAAAATAAGAAATATAAAACTAAATACAGTTAATAATACTAATTTCAATCAATTTGGAAGTCCAATAGGAGTTGGAGCAGAGCCTATACAGTGAATACACACAATACTGCAGGTCCTGAAGCCCCAATGAGTAAAGCCGCTAACAATTTTTAACTTGCGGGTATCCAAATTTTTTTCAATCAGGAATCAGTATAAACATAGCCGTGTATGCAAGCAAGAGATCGTAACATAATCATATGAAACTGAATGTTTCACTTCCAATCCGTGAATGCGATTTAAGAATTCAATACTTGGTACTGAAAAACTCCACAAAATTGCATTTCTTCTAATAGAAAAAGGCCACAAAAAATAACTAGAGAAAATGACAAACAATATAAGAAACTTGTCTGCAAAGAGAATTCTGTATTCAGTTTCCAAACATGGAAAGCGTGATATCCTAGAAACTCATTTCTTCTTGCCAGCCTTAGCAGCATCTCCAGCTTTAGTCTGTACAAATCAATTAAAGAAATTAGTTGCAAAACAAAAGTGAAATGATCGGAATATAATATGACAATATTACTAGTGAGCATATCATATAAAAGAATATCATTCATTCTGAATTTTGAAAGGCAAAAATCTTTTGAGAGTCAAGTGTGATAATCAGAGTGCAGGGTTGACATGTCCTTCGATGTATTTAGGCCCTGTTTGAGCCACGAGAATGAAAAATATAGTCGTTANGCCCCGTTTGAGCCACCTTTTTGTAGAATGAGAATGAAAAATATAATCGTTATTGCGACCCACACAAGAGATAGAAAATTTGAATTTAAATGTTGATGTGATGGATAACGGTCATATTTTTCATTTTAATGAGATAAAAAGGCAGCCCAAACGGGGGCTTAATAAAAATTATCATTTTTTTTCTCCAGGGGGAGGGAGGGTCAGGAAAAGGGCGTCTATAGCAAGTACATGCTAAAGAGATTAATTAAGTTGGTGTTGAGTGCTTGTCAATAATTATTTCAATCTATACCGATTATTTCAGAATCTTTTTGGATGCTATAGCTAGAAACTTGCCAAAAAAAGGAAATTATTACCTTCTTCACACCACGGATCTTCTTTGCTCTGTTCTTTCTCTCCTTCATTTGCTTTCTGGACTTCTCAACCTTGGTATCAAGACCGTTCTGCAGAAAAATCACAAATGTCCAAAAAGAAAAATAAAAATCTTAAAAAAAAGAGGCATGAATTAAAAGCAACAAACCTATCAACTAACAAAACAACCATTCAAGTAAATTGTCTGGTTTGAAGAGGCTAAGCATGCACAATTAACTTCCAATGTAAAATCAAAGGCAACAAAGAAATGGTTCCATATTTATAAAGGAGTCCTTTTTACAAGTTCAATGGAAATTGTCCTGGAAACAAGAGGCATCAATTGTCACGTACAACTCCTAGCCACTCACCAACTTTATTTAGATGTTTAGTGCAAGGGCAGAGCATGAAGCAAAAAAAGTAATAACCATATACATCTAAACACACTTATTGCTTAAGTACAAGAAGCCTGTGGTATGTTATATTCACCATCCGAAAGATGTTGAACCGACAAATTCTAATGAATTTATCACTTGCTTAAATATCCTTTTACCAGCATAATATAAACAACACGGAAAGTTCAACGAGACACAGGAATTACCCTGATGAGCCTGTATTTCGGCTCATATTTCTTTGCACTCTCAACAGAATCATATATCAAGCCAAAACCAGTGGATTTTCCTCCACCAAAGTGGGTCCTGAACTTGAACACAAATATGGCATTTGGATCTTTCACTTCATACATCCTAGCCAATTTCTCCTTCAATTCAGCCTACAATGATGGCCACAGCAGGTAAAACTAAAAGAAAACACAAATGTTTACTCAAAGCCAAATTAAAATTGCCAGCATAAATGCGAGGAAAAAATTAAACTTAAAAACAAAAGATCGAGCAGAAAACTTGCTTTTGGCAATCAGAAACTAAATGCTAATAATCATCAACCAACAACAACAA